GGTTCTGTCTAGTTCTAATTACTTACTTGTCCCTTTTTCTGAAGAGGCTGGGGGAGTAAGGAGGCTGAAATGCCATAGTTTAAATTGTCCTTGCTTCTCTCTTCTCTCTTCCCCTCTGGTTCCACTCCAATGTGGGAGACTTTGACTGGAAGGCCACTGCCACTTACACAGTTACTTTGGCTTCATGGAAAATCCCCCAAGTCCAGAAGGAGGAAAGCAAGAAGGAAGGACAGTGACAGAGAAAGTGCCTTGTTCTCTGTGGATCATGTGAACTGTCCTGCATGGCTAGGACCCAGAGTCCTGACTTTGGGGGACAGGAAAATGGGGAGGAGGATGGAGATGCAGAGGCAAAAGGCAACAGAGGGGTGGGAGGGAGCCCAAGGAGAAGCCTGGGGGAGAGATGGACAGTGTCTTGAAGAGCAGCTCTAGCAAATGATTTTGGGCACACCCTGGCACTACATGATGGCAAGAGCAATGAATTGTGCCTTTCAGCTCCCTCCTGGACAGGGTCCCATGTGAGATTCACAAACAGTCTCTGAGTGACACTAGGGACAATAGGCGGAACCAAACCCTGTTTCAACAAGGCATTCTATTCCCCCCACCATCATCCAGAGAAATCAGAAACTGCTCTTGTCAAATCACCTCAATCACCCCAACTTTGATGGCTAACTATGGAGAGGTGTTGTCCTGGTATCTCAGTAGAACCAGAGTTACTGGCAGCTTATTCAGGAATGCAGTTTAGGCTCAGTAGATCTTAAATTTCATGAGCCTTGTGTCAATATTTATGCCTGTCTCTCTTACACTTATGCCTTGCAGTTGGGAAAATTTACCTCCATAATTTTCCCAAGCTTTCTTCTCATTTCCACCCTCCCTATTATCTGTCTACAAGTATAAAATTAGAGATTCCTGAAAAAGAAGTTTGTAAATTCAACCTTAGTAAATGGAATGACAGTCCTTCCTCCTCTCCATACTCACTGCCATTAACATTTAATTCAATTCAAATCAATTTGGTTCAAAGTTGACTCGGTACTTATTCAAAGTTCAAAGCACATTTTTCAAGCAAATTTAAAAAAGGAAACTGGTAATACACATCAAAATTGTGCTTCTTTCCATAATATCCTGGGTTTATGACAAATTCGTAAGTTTTCTCAACTGGTCAGACCTTAATGAATAGTTTGCTTCAGGAAAAAGCCTAGGGTCTAGGGGTACACAAAAGGGCAGCCCGAAGTTGGGGAGGACCACATCACTACATCTCTGGACATTACTTCACTCCACAAGATTGGCTGTTTGTTTCTCTTCTCTCCACCCTGTTCTTTGGTAAGAACCCACCTGGATGGGGATAACACAACAGCTACAAAGCCTGAGGTTTCTGTGTAATACTTTGGACTCCTCTGGCACTATGGCTGACAGTGGCAAAAGGGTCTGGGGACAAGGCACAGGTACTGTATTTGCTTTCTGAATTGCCAGTCCCTTCTTTCTGAGAAGGGGATCTATCTCCTCTGCCAACCTCTTGGCCTTCTTCCTTTGGCCAGCTCTTAGTCTTGTCCTTATCCCATCTCTCTTAGCAGCAGATGCCAAGGTTCTTTGCTTTTCTCCACAGATCAGCAAGCATCATCAGATAGGCAAACAGCCCCCCTCATCACATCCTATCCTTTAGAAATTCTGGGGCACTGTAGCCTTCCAGGGGCCAGGAAAGCAAGCAAGAACATGGCCACTCTCCATGTTTATTTATCTGCACTAGCCCTCTACCAGCCTGTCTGGGCTAAGGAGACACTGGTAGGGCCTCTCCTCATCTCCTGTCTCCGTGGAGCCATCCCAGGGTGAAAATTCCAAGTAATTTTCTCTGGCAGTTTCCAGGGTTACTTTGAGTGGCATATGAAGGGCTTGGAGCTACTGGCAATGCAAGGATGATGAGAGCTGGAAGGACCTCTCAGGGACATACAGCCGGCAGACAAGGAGCCTGTGAATAGGGCAGGGGCTCTGAGGTGGAGCACCTGGCTCCACTGCACACCCCACTATAGAATGGGTGACCTTTGAAGTGGCACAGGTTCTCTATGAAACAAAAGCATGGTTAATAATGCTCGCCTCTCAGGGGCTCTGGCTTGTTGGTCATGATGGGTAAGCATTCTGAGCCTCTGAAGGACCTCACATTGTGCTCCTGAGGCCTCGCTTACCTCACAGCACAGCTATTCACCATGGACTCACTTGATGTGGCTCCTTGATCCTCTATTGTGAGACTCTATGACTTGTGAAGAGGGGTTCTGCAGACTGCAAAGGGGCTCTGCACGACCCCATCCCCACCCGCTGCTTCCTGGGTGGAAAGAATGCAGCCCAGCTAGGCCGGAGGGGGGGTAGCAGTGGGGAGACAGGGCACACTACTCTCAGAACAGAAAGGAAGGAGACGGGATGAACCTCTCCCTGGGCGAAGGTCCCCAACTATAGGAAAAGTGCCAGGGAACTCAAAGGACTGCTTGGAGGGGTTAAGGAAGGCCTTCTCCCTGGTTTGAGAATTGCAGACATGGAATACATGCACCTTATCAGGAAAAAAGAGGTGTTCAAAGCACACACACATTGATGCAAACACCTTCTCCACCCTTTCACACAGTCTGATTCCCAGACAGAATCTGGCAGAGAAGGCCCAGTGTGTCTGTCTGTCTTTCTCTTTCTGCTGTTGTCAGCTTCTCCATCACCCCAAATGGATAGTAAGGGCACAAGACATGGCAAGATGGAAATGCAGGGGCTGGGGATTTAGCTCAGTGGCACCATGCCTGACTCATAAGCGCCAGGTCCTGAGTTCGATCCCTGGTACCGCAAAAAAAAAAAAAAAAAAAAAAGATGGAAATATAAGACATTCTAATTCAAGCCAGAGTGTCAAAAGCCGTGGCTTAAAGGCGAAAGCCGAGAAAGTATGTCCCCCAAGAGCCCCTGTGGTACCACAGGCACTGAGACTCACTTTGTATGGCACATTCTGATGCAGTTCAGCATGTTCCAGACTGACTGTCCATTCTGCCATCTCTTTCCCTGTTGCTCCTAGAAGCTTGATCAGACCATGAATGAGAGCTACTATTAGAGGGATAACCCTGAACCTACTGTGACTTCTTTCTAAAGCTTTGGCAAACTTTTCCTTCTTTGTTGTAAGAATTCCTTCTAAGACATTCCACAGCTGTCAGTGGGAACTCAGCCTAGGCAGCTGGGGACAATGGGGGTGGGCATTACAGTGGGGAGGAGAAGAACCCAGGCCAAAGAAGAGGAAGGGGATGATTTTTCTCAAACAGCACAGTCTGGTCAATGGACCAGCACAACCTCCCTTCTACAGAAGCCAGCTCTTCTGTAGCTCTGTGACTGTCACCACCCAGTTAAACACGGGTCAGTTCCCAGGTGTGTCTCATTCCCCCTCAGGAACCTGCTAGGGCTGACGAAAATGATTTGCCAGGGTCTCTGCAAACATGCTCATCTCTACCTCGATCTAAGCCTGGAGTTCACCCATCCCCACTATTTTCACTACACCGCACGGGTGAGAGGCCCTCCTTGGCAAAGTGGTTGTCTCCACTGCTCAATGACTCCCTTCTCCCAAGGAGGTAGAGGAGGAGGAATTCACTATTCTCTGTGGTACACATCTGGCACATGCTTGGACATTTTATTTTTATGTCTAATTTACACTGTCTGCTAGGTTTGGGGCTTAGAAATAAACAAAGGCTATATCCCGCCCACACCCCCCAAGGCCTGGACTTCATGATTGCCTGCCAGCAACAGTGACCCATTTAACCTCTTTTCTTGCTTCTTCAGACACTCAGTGTTGGGGGTGGGGTTGGAAGAGAAAGGTATTTTGGGTCAAAAGCCTGGAAATTCTTAGTCCCAGCCTGAAATACCATTCCCCAGCCCTTCCTGGCAACATGAATGGTAAGCACTGAAGTCACCTTATCAAGTACAGATTTCTTTTAAAGGCTATAGCAAGATTGTAAGGATAAAGCACAAAAATAGAAAATTCAAAATGTTGGCATTCATTTTTTTTAAAAAGCCGACTTACAGATGTCTTTGTGCCACCAAGCAAAGACAGAAGTGCCCAGGTCTTTGTGGGAAGAGCCTTTGTGGCATGAGAGGCCTTAAAGACCTATGGACAGCAGAGCATGGTGGGCCTGACCAGGAAAAGCTTCTTGCCAAAGCTCATACACATTAAAAAATAAGAGGAACACTAGCCCCTATGTCTCAGCATAGAACTCTAGCAGCAAACTAAGGAATCCTGGTCAACAGTTCTGACATCCTGTTATTTGCTAAAACTAATAGTACTGTGGAGTTTGTTGACAGAGTCACAGAAGAGCTAAAGTAAATATGGAAACTGAGGAACAGCCAAGTATAGACAGTTACTAGCTCAGCAGTTGAGAAGAGAGTTTCACAGATACTCTCTGACATCCTGGGGAACCTGGGCCTCCATACAGTTGGGAGATAACCCAGAAGGCATCTGTCATGTCACTAGGTGATTTCTCTTCAACAACAGCCTGCTACAATAATGGGTTTGGCTCAAGAACTGTACTGGGACTCAGACAGATAGTAGTGATAACAAGAGTTGAGAGCGACTCTTCTCTCAAAACACATACATCACATAAGGCATACATGTTTATGTGTACCCTAAGGTCTGGAAACACATATAATGTCACTTTATATTAGTTGACTGATTCATCCATTCATTCTTCAGATTGAACTCAGGGCCTTTGTACTGAGCTATATCCCTAGTCCCTTTTGTATTTTTTAATTTTAAGACAAAGTCTTGCTAAGTTGCTAAGTTGCCCGGGGTTGGGCTCAAACTTGCAGTCCTCCTGCCTCAGCCTCCCAGAGTGCTCGGATTATAGAATGTCACATCTGGCTTTCTTTCTTTTCTTTCTTTCTTTCTTTCTTTCTTTCTTTCTTTCTTTCTTTCTTTCTTTCTTTCTTCTTTCTTTCTTTTTTTTTAGCAGATTAAATATGTCCTTAATGATATTATATATTTTTTCCTTATTTTCCAGACTTTATGGACAACTTACAAGCAGCATTCCTGAGTTTGGGGAGAGTGAAAAGGGGCCATGTGAACATGATATCCTCCATGATGACTAAGGGGCCTGGTTCCCAAACACTGCCGGCCAAATGGCTCTTCAAATGTGCAGCCCTTTCAATGCTGTTTCAAAGTCTAGCATTTCTAACCTTCTGTCCAGTTCCCATGGTTTCATAAGTTATCCATACTGCTTATGGGGAGGGAATGGTCTGAGGAATCAATGTTAAAATGGAATCAGTATTCTTTTGACATTCTTGTCAGTCTTTCTCTGTATGTAACGTTTCTAACTTGCACAACTCTTTAGCCTTGAGAGCCTCTCCAACGGTACAATCAGCCATGAACAGGACCTCTATTGTTTCAAGCAGTCTGGAGGCTCAACCACACAGGAGCAATGCAGGGTCTCAATTGAGTATCCATTGGTTTCCTAAACTAGAATAGAAGCTTTGTGAGGGGAGGAGCTTATCTTCTATCTTCCCCTGTAGACTCAAGTATTGTACCAGTGTCTGGCACACAGATTAAATGTAGTAAATATGTGCTTAATAAACAAATAAAAGGCCTGGCAAAGCCCTAAAACTTTGCTAATGGCCCCAGTAGGGTAGAACTACTGTATAGGCAAATTCATGTATTAGCCTTTTGTTAATATTTGAATTTGGGAACAATCATTTAGAGAAATCATGCAGTCAAAACATGAAAGATCTATGAAAATCAAACATACAGTACTTGGGAAACCCAAAGGCCACTAATGACCTGGAAGCAAGGCCCAACTTCTTAACTAAAACAGATAATTCACCCTGGTGTGTGCTCCTGGTTCCCTGCTAATGCTGGGGCTTGGGTCAGTTTCCACGTGTAGCTAAAAGGGCTTAGTCAGTTGAGAACAGTTCACCCACAGGGAGCAGTAGAGGGGGATAAAACCCAGGAGCAGGGCAACTAAGTCTCAACTAAGTCTGGCACTAATATCAAAGTGGGATTTAGGGCTAGCAAGCCTGATTCTCAGAGTGACACCTATACACAGTAAATGGAATGATGGGGAAGGGGAGGGACATAAAAAGCTCAGATATATCCTGACATCCACCAAAATAAAAGAAATCTCTCTATTAACCCTTGGATTTGAAAGACTGAGCTACTGTATTAAAATAAAGTCATTCTCAGAAGGTGAACCATTTAGTTTTTCTTAGGGAAGGAACATGACAATGTCTTCAGCTTGGTCCACTTAGTGGGGGCTTCTGGGAGAAGCAACCCAGGCTGGCTAAGTATAGACTGATGGGGTGCTGCCTGGGGAAGGGGAATTGAAATGGTTACTGATTACCTGGTGGCCTTGAGCTTTTAGCAGACATGCAAATGTGCCCAAATATTCCAGACTGTCAAGAAACCGAGCTGCCTGTGAGTGGGCAGCTCTAAGAGTAGTAGAGTTTATGGCCCCTGAACACAGTTGGGAGATAACCCAGAAAGCATCTTCGACATCATCAAGTGATTTCTCTCTAACAATAGGCTCTCACAATGATGGGTTTGGCCTATGTAGCTGATACTGATCCCTCAGACAAATAGTGATAAAGAGAACTGAGAGGACTCCCCTTATACATATGCAAAGGGAGGGACTCTCTGAGAAACTCTCTAGCACCCATTCCAAATGAACTTGGTCAAGTGGGAACAAAGGAAAAAAATTATGTCAGGTGGTCAGTGCTTTCTCCACCTTGGTCAGGAAGCTGGGGGACTGCACAGAAGGGTTCTAAACTCTCTATGCTTCTAGATCCCTATACCTGAAATAGGAATCATGCTCCTTCTATCATAAAACATAGACTCCATACAAGGTAATTGCTTTCTCCTTCTCGGTAAATAAGAGCAAGTTATTTATGAAGATGCTCTGGACATACTGGGGACATTTACTTTCAGTGCTCCCTGTCTGGGAGACCTATTTGCTTGCTCCCCAGAACTCCCCTCCTCCTCAAACTCTACTGACTTTTTTATAAGTGGCATAGCTGAGACACTGAGCCTGAGGAATAGTCTGTGTCTGAGTGGGGTTGATGGATTCCCCTTCCCTGGGGTAATTTCTTTTCATCAAGAGCCTCCTGCTAACCCAAAGGAATGAATCTAGTGAGGGAAATTCGGCAGGTCACTTCGGGAGCTTTCTTTGGGCATTTTCTGCCTCTCTCTGTTGACAGTGCCCTTTTTTGCCTGTGCACCAGATGGTCCTGGCAGCAGACACAGTACTCACACTAGAGGTGGCGAAGGTAAACCCTTGCCCCTCAGTGCCCTTCACACCCATGTTAACTCTGGAAAAACCTCAGCCCTGGGGCACCTAGCTTGACCTGGTGATGACCAGCTGCCTGATACCAGGTAGAGTCTGGTCAAGGAGGGAGGCAGGGAAGTAGGGCTGGGTGTTCCTGACTCTGTCACCCAGTTGTGAAGTGCTGACAGCTGGGAGAGGACCTGAAACCAGTTAGCCTAGGGCTCCCAGCCAGCAGTGTATTTTCATCTTGTTTTGACTGGGACCATCCTCCCCTGTGTAAACATATGCACTGTGTGTGTGTGGGGGGGGTGCAGGATAGTTTAAAATAGGTAGGTGGAATTCATCCCACCAGTGAATCATCAGTGCAGGGAATACCCTGCAGGTGGGCCTTGTGTTAAGCAAAACTGACATAGGAAAACCTCCATTTAATAACAGGGCAAGGATGAATAGCTGTGAGGTCTTGACCTACCACTGGGAGAACTCAAAGCTTAATTTGATCCAAATAACAGCAGTGACTCCCTGTACTGATTGCTTAAAGAGCACTGTGTTAAGAACAATATATGCATTGGCTTTTGGAAGACTGTCAACAGCCTGAGGAGTTGGGTATAACGTTATCAGTCGGCCCACTGATGAGGAAATTGAGGCTCAGGATTGTTCTGGATTTTTTTGTTTTTTATTTGGTACTGGGGATCGAACTCAGGATCTTGCACTTGCCTGGCAGCACCACTGAGCTAAACCCCTTGCCTGAGGCTCAGGAATGTTAAATGACTTGCTTGGGGCTGCTGGTCTGTCTCTAACTGGGTGTTGTACTTTGTTTTGAGGAGAGTTGCAGACACAGGTGCATTCTAAGCAGACACTAGAACTTTCACCAATCCCCCCCACACACACTGACCCTTTTCATCACAGCTGCAGGTGGATCTTTAAAAGGTCTTTATTAGGGTCAAGGTGGGGAAGCCCTTAAGCAGAAGCTGCCTCTTTCCACTAACTAAAGGAATCCCAAGGCAATTAATTGCCCAGAGTGGGCCTCTCCTAAAATGCTAGGGTGGGCTAGATCTGCATTTCAATTCAGGGACTGGCAATTGCTTAAGGGTAGCTGCTTGATCACCTCAGCGATGGCTCCTCAGTAATGGCAAATAGGTACAAAGGACCCAGACAACAGGATGGAAAAAGAGACAAAAGACTTAGTATAACCCAGTATAAGGAAAAACCAAATGTAAACATATATTCTGAAACAAAATGTCACCCATCAAGGGTGTCTACGCAAGGTTGGCCTCCAGGCTAAACTGTGAAGTAAGAGCCTGTCCTCAGAACTGCCCGGCTTCCTTTTTGAGTATCTTCCTCCTATCGTCCAGCCTGGAGTTTAGTGGGGTCCATTGCTACCGGGGGTGAAAGGGGCCTCTCTAGGAATTCTCACTTTCGGGAAGACTCCCAGTCTTCCTCCCCAAAATCAAATGTACCTGGCCTTTGGGCCAGCCCCAGTGGACCAAGGGAAGAAAGTTGTATAAATGGCAGACAATGGCTTAAGAGATTTTCCTCAGGCAGGATTAACAAAGATTTCAATCAGTGGTATAATTTTAGTCATAGGTGTGGAGGGAGACTGCTTATCTCTGATCTCCAAATCTTGCCAAGAAAGCCACATTCTGCAGTAACTGTAGGTAGGGCTGACTCTATGTTTAGGGATAAACACCACACTCTTGTGCTCTCTTCTTCCCAGAACACAGTAGAGAGAACACTGGAATAGAAAGCAGGAATGGGTTCCGGTCTGGTTTTGGCCCTGTCTATCAGAACAACCTTGAAAGGCTCTATAACCATTCTGGGCCCCAGCTCCAACTGTAATATGAGAAAATTGGAAATGCAAATTTATGTTTGTTTGGGTGCTTCTTTGATGAATGATACTTCTCCTATTAAGACTGAGAGCACCATGAAGCCTGGAGATATATCCCAAGTACCTTCAACAGTGTCTGACACACCACACAAGCTCAACAAATAGAATAAATGAAAGAACAGTGAATGTGACTTCTAAGGTTGATGCCAGGTCTAACAGTCTGCACCGAGATCTCTTCAGATATAGCTATTTACAACTATATCGCTGAGTCAAGAGGCCCAGGCCCAGGACTAGTGAGACCTTCAGGTCCTTACCTCACAGGGCAGATGTGTCTGCACCATGGGATACAGGAGTAGCCTGCATTGGGAAGGGTAGATCTGGGACCAAAGGCAGCAAGCAAGAGCTTCCACGAGGCTCAGGAAGTTTGCAGGATGCTATAGGTAGATTGCAGGGCAGAGTTGGCCTGGCAAGGGCTGGCTATAGAAGGGCAGGGTCATTAAGAAGGAGGAGCCAGGAGAGTAACATTTACAACGTTTTCTATAAAATGGGAAGCTGAGATAACAGAGACCTGATGGGTGTCTGGGCTGAGGTAGGAAAAGTGCCGAGTTGCTTGCTAACTCAAGGTCAGGAGCTGGAATGGGGCCCAGAGCTCTCAAGCCTCTGCTCACCCCCTTGGGACTGTCCCCTGGCTCTGGGCCAGCTCCCTAAATAGCTCACCATCCCCCTCCACAATTCCAGCTTCTTAGGCTAACCTGCTTCCTGCTCCAGCCACACCACAGCTAGTTTCCCTCCCCTTTTCCCCCAAGGCTACATGGAAATCCTCCCCCAACCTCCCTCCAAGGACTCAGCTGGTGCATTCACCCATTAGAAGGTTTGAGGCCAGCCTGTCTTCAGGCAGATCTGCCCCCTTCCTCACACTGACACAATTCCTCCCCTCTTTAAGCAAAAGGGGGATGGGGTTTGCCAGAGCTGTATCCCTCCTTACCTACTACATTGCCAGGCCCTCTCCTAAGATCACTCCCAGAAAGGACTCTGAGGTGCTGAGGTGTTCTCCCCTGTCCTCCCTACTTTCAGCAGTACACATTCACATTCTAACAGAAGTCACAGTTTCAAAAAAGAAAAAAAAAAGAATCTCTAAGACTAAAATTTCAGGTATCAGTGAGCAGGGAGAGAGACTGATTTATGGGGACAGGAGTCCTTCCCAGTATTCTAGAAATAACACTATGGAAAGGGCTACCTACTGTGAAGAGTCACTAGGCCAATAAAGGCCAAAGTTCTATTCCCATCTCTGCCCTTAAAATAGTCTGTGTGTCTCTGAGCAAATCACTTAATCTCTTTGTCTCAGTTTCTTCATCTGTCAAATGGAGGCAATTACTCCTACCCTACCAACCTCCTCAGAGGGGCGTTAGGAAAATTAGAGACCGTGTGTGTGTGTGTGTGTGTGTGTGTGTGTGTGTGTGTGTGTGTCGAGGACAGAAAGATTTTTTTGAGATAGGGTCTCAATAAATTGCCCAGACTGTCCTGGAATGTGCGATCCTCCTGCCTCACCCTCTAGAGTGCTAGGATTACAGGATGTGCCAGCATGCCCGGCAAAGAGACTTTCTAAATGGCAAGGTCCAGAACAACTTATTTGGGATTATGATGTCTCCCTTTACCCTGCTGTACTCGAAGGATTCATTCAGGATCCACGGTAGTGTTTTCCCAAAACATGCCCATGTGCTCTAGGCCAGCCCCTTTTTCTCTCTCCTAACTTCTGTCTCTCCTCTGGGGCTTGGCTTTAGCCATATTTGATCTCCTGTGCACCTCCACCCTGCTTTAAGAACATCTCCTGCCCCACCCTCATCCCCATCACCACACATCCCATCCCCCTCAGGCCTTCCCTCACCTTGCAAGGGCCTGCTGGCACACTCTTGCCCTCTTACGCTTGTCCATGACCCTGTTTTCCCAGTGCTGACCTCAAGCTCTCTCCATCAAAGCATTAAAGAGGAAGGGTCTCTGAGGGGTAGTGACTGGACTTGACAATTTGTTACAGAGGCTAAGCACAATGCAGAACACTCAGCAGGCACTCAAGAAACACTGTTTGGTTACATGTGCTGGGGGAGATATTTGGGGTAGAGTCTGCTCAGGGGCCCCTGAAATCTTGCCAGGTAGATAGTTGCTTGCCCCACCTCTAGCTAAGTTCAGCAGGCCTTGCCTGCTCTTCCCAACTCACGTCACCTCTCAACTCAGACAATGAGCTAGGGCATTTAATTTCTAGGACTTGTACATTGCAATGTAATTTCTATTCTCCCTGGCCTAATGCCACCAAGTTTCTCTTCTATCCCCACCTTTCCCCCAGGGATGAGAGACTATTTGGGGCACCCTTTGAATTTCCCAGCACAAGCAACCAGTTCCCTCTGCAGGGCCACACCAAAGAGTCTTCTCCTCTGAAGAAACCTGGGGTTCCACCATAGAATTAAGGGCTCCCAGGCTGGAGAATGGTGCCTACCACAAGAGTTCTGCCCCTACCCAAAGCAATGGTTGTCTGGAATGTCTTCTAGTCTGGAGAATACTGAAGAGAGACTC